TTTCTGAATGTCTTTTCTGTGCGTGACTTTGGACTAGCTGTGTTATGGCCTTAGCCATAACCCTGAAAATTAGGACATCCTACTTCAGGAGTGAGGAGCAAGTTGTAACCTGTCCCAGCTTTCATGCTTAATTAGTACTCAGCTGTGTCATCCTGCCCTGTGAGTATTGCTTCTGGCAGTTGAATCAAGAGAGGTGAGACCTAGAGACCCACTGAACTCCTGACAAGTAGGGCTAGGCGAGGAGGCTACTCTTGGCCAGAGAGCAAGGTCAAGAAACTTGAAGCACATTTACAATCAGAAGTCATTACTTCTGAGCAGATATAAGTGTAATGGGAAACAGGTATGCTATCTGGAGCCCTGAGTGTAGCCTCAGTGTGGACACTGGCAGACATAAAAAATATTGCCTGTGCAAGGTTTTAAGTTGAACTAAAAATTATGAACCTAAAACTTTTTTTGTGAGAATGGGTATTTATCATCATCTTTGATTGTTGAGGAACTTTTGAAATATAGACTAGCCTTTCTTGAATTTGAGTTTTTTCACAGTGACATTTGCTCACAAAATAATATTCCTTTTAAGAGGTGCAGTTGTTATAATTTTAAAGTGGGCATTTTCTTAGTGACAAATTGAAAATATTTTTCATGTTTTTTCAGCATAATTTTATAAGGCTGAATTTATTGATTTTTATTTTTAAAGAGAAAAAAGCAATAAAAATGATACAGAATTTCAAAACAAGATGATAGTGTTAGGTTTTTCTGGTGCAACAGAGAAGCAGAAGTAAAAGAAAAAGAGATCTGTAGAAACTCTGAGGGCACAGATGATCTGAGGGAGCTGGAGCTGTCCTCTTACCTGAGACAAAGGGGATTTGGGATTATATGGATTTTTTATCTAGGTGAGCTTGAGGGGCAGCTTCAGTGACGCAGAAGAGGCTGATTGGAGGCTCCCTTGTGTGTGGCAGAGGTAAAAAGTCCAGGGCTGGTGTGGAGGAGGAGGAGGAAGTGGTCATTGGGAAGATAAACTGTGTATTTTGGGGTGCAGCCATGTTGAATTAGGGCCATAATAATTTAGCAGTTTATACTCAAGCCAGAACCTATCAGATAGGAAATTAGCAATGGTTATTATTTTGTGTGTTATCTGTGTGTGTGTGTGTGTGTGTGTGTGTGTGTGTGTATTTAAAGTAATTGTTCAGCTTACCAGATGCAAGTGTGCAAAATTGATAAAACCATATAAGCACTTTTTAAAAATAATATTTATTTATTATATTCTTTCCATTTTTGTAATTGGTATAGGGTCTTACTATGCAGCTTGGACTCAAAGTGATCCTATTTTCAGCCTCCCCAGTGCTAGGATTCTAGGCCTGCGCTGCCAAGCCCAATCTCCGTTTCTTTCAATGAACTAGTGGAAACTAGTAGTACAATTGTCTTAGCTATCGTGTGTGTGTGTGTGTGTGTGTGCGCGCGCGTGCGCGTATCTTCTTTTTTTTTTTCTCCTTTCCCCCCAAAGGCTAAATTTATTATGCCAGTCTGCAAGTCTTGTTTTTCTGATGGAAATTTTTATTTTATTTTATTAGGCCGTTGTTGGGGATTGAACTCAGGGCCTCAGCCTGCTAGGCAAGAGCTTGTCCACTGAACTGTGTCCTCAGCCCCAGAAATTCTTTTTTCAAAAAATTATTGATAATTTCATCCACATGGCTGACACTGACAAAGGTTCTACAATCTGAGGTACAGGATCTCAGGATAAATCCTGAGGGCATTTCACTGACCTTCTCAGACCCAAAAGCTACAACTCTTGTTGCATAGGTCCTGCTTTTCCTTGGTCTTAACCATCCAGTAGAAAAGTATGAAGACGAAATATAGGAAGTAAAGCCATGCTGTTATGTTGAACTGTGGAGGACTCAGGTCAACAATTTCTGACATTGCCAGTTAAAACAGAAGACCCAATGCTATTATGGGCTACTGGACTCTTTTAGAATATTTTGCTGAGTTCACATACCTATACTATTCAAATAATGGAACTTAACAAAAAAAGGGTACACAGATAAATGTCCATTTTGTATCTGTGTATTCAAAGTGGTTAGGATAGATATATAGCTACATTCTCTTAATGAATAAAATGATTTGTTCTAATGGTGTTTGTAAACAGGATCTCAAGTCCACATCTTGTACAGCAATTAACCACTAAGAAGAATGTATGCAGTGTGTTAATTATTGAAACTGTCCTAGTGACTTGATTTGAAACTGTCTCATTGCTATTTATCAATAAAATTATGAAAAAAAATTACTGATAAAGGTAGCAGTTACAGGAGCCTGGTGTGATGGTGTGTAACTGTAATGCCATTTACTAGGGAGGCTGAGGTAGGAGAATTCCTCTTTCTCTTGTCTCTCTACCTATTTATTACAGGAATTAATAGTTTCTTATTGATTTTTCTGCTTTGCAAATATTTATATCTACTTCTATTCCTATTTCCTACACAGGATGCTATGTGCTCTGAGCTTTTCATTAAAACAGTACACTGTAGCTTTTTCCAAATCCTTACCTAGAGATCCTTGGGGGAGTGAGGGAGTTAAGATCTTGCTCTGTAGCCCGGGCTGGTCTTTAACTCAAGGCCATCCTTCTCCCTCAACCTCAAGAGTGCTGGGATAACAGTTGTGCACCACCACAGCCAGCTCCTAGAGATCTTTTTTATTCTTTTTCTGGCTGGATTGAATTCTTTTTAGTTTTTTCTTTTTTGTATTTTTAGGAAAGGGTTTACAGGGTCTCACTGCATAGATCGGACTCATAGTGATCTTCCTGGTTACAGCCTCCCAAGTGCTGGGATTACAGATGCACACCACCACTTCCCGTCCCAATGTCCATCACAGCGCACCGTGGGGGCGGGGCCGGCTTTTTTTTTTTTTTTTTCTCCCCTGTATTTTAGGAAAGGGGCTACAGGGTGTTCAGGGTCTCACTACTAGATCCGGACTCATAGTGATCCGCCTGTTTACAGCCTCCAAATAGCTGAGATTACAGGCATGTGCCACCACACCCAGTCTCAGTTGCTGGCTCAGTGTGCCCTGGGGGCAGGGCCAGCACTGCAGGCCTAGGGATCAAACCCCCGTCCCTGTGTCTGCTTACAGGTGCTTTAATCTGCAGAGCTATTTGGCCAGCCCTAGATTCTATTTTGTGATTGTACATTCAGCCAGGGTCCTGAGATGGTCCTAAATTTTTACCTTTATAAACAATGCCACAGTGAATGCACCAATACATGAGCCTTTCATGCTTGTCTAGGGATTGCTAACATAAAGTGCTGAGTGTTTTTGTAATTTTGTTAAGTCCTATGAAGTTCTTCATGGGGGTTGTGCTATTTTGCACTCCCTCCAGCAGTATATGCAAGTATATATTTTCCCTTAGCTTTGCTAACAGTGTCACACTCTGGTCTTACTAACCTTGATGAGTAAGAAATAGTGTCCTAGTGTTTTAATATGTCTTTTTCTTTTTTATAAATGACATCAAGCATTTAATACATTTACAAGTCATTTGTTGTCAGAGACCAGTCCACACCACTGTCCTCAAGCCCTTGCCTCAGGCGTCACTCTTGGGGGACCAGCCCACTCCTGTGAGCCTTCCCCACCCAGGCATTGCTTGCAGAGACCTAGTCCTGCTTCTGGTTTGTTGCCTTGACCCAAGGGTGAATGAGGATGAGTGGCAGAGTCAGTTTAACGTGAGGCAGCCAGGGGCTCTTGCCTGTAGGACAGAGGAGCACAGGAGCCCCAACCCCTTTTATTCATCTAGTTAAAGTAACACAAGGCTCAGCTGCCTTCCGGTGTCCTTCAGTACATGCTCAGGTAAACAACTTACACTGTATAAGCCATCTGTTTCGTGCTCACAGAGGAGACCGTTAAGCCTGAATTTTCCTCTAGTCTCCCACAGTGTGTTCTTTTTCTGTGAACTCTAGGACATTGCAAACTAATTTTATCTGTTTTTGTGGTGCAAGGGATTGAACCTAATTGTGCTATATCCCACCCTTTTTATTTTTTATTCTTTATTTTGATACAGGGTCTTAGTCACTAACCTCCCCAAGCTGAACTTGAACTTGTGTGCCTTAGCTTCCCAGAGTGCTGTGATTACAGGTGTGCCTCACGTGTTTGTTGTTTTATTTACTCTTCTCTCATTGCTGGGACAAAATATCTGATGCCCAAAAATGAAGGAAGGAAAGGTTTATTTAGCTCACAGTTTGTGGACATTTCAGTCCATACACAGCTGGCTCCAAAGCAGAGGGGCACATGGCAGAGGGCAGCCGTTCATAGTGGCAGAAAACAGCATAAGAGCAAGAGCAAAAGGGAGGAGTAGCGGCAACAATGGCAACAGAGAGCAAGCCTGTCTCCTTCATGTTGCATTTAGGCTGTCCACCCCAGGCTGGGTGCAGCACGCACACCCATAACCCTAGCAGCGCTCACACCCGTAATCCCAGTGGCTCATGAGTTAATCACAAACTCTAGAAGTCCGCCCCATGATTGCATGAGGCTCTGGGGGACAACTAGACACAAACCATAACACTTGTCTTATCTTTTTGTAAGAGACAGGGTCTGTGTTTTCCAGGATTTTTTAACCCTCAGCCTCCCAGGTAGCTGAGAGTACAGGTGTATGTCATGGCATCCACCTATCCCGCACTTTAAAACTGGTAACTATTTTTCTGTCAACACTTGGAGCTTTTTATAGTACATTCAGAACTAATAGCCTATGATGTATGTTGCCCACTTGTCTGAGGTTTGTTTTTCTTAATGGCATTTTTTTCTATCAGAATTATGCAGTTTTTATGGAGTTGGATTTATTGAGCCTTCTATATTTTATTTTGTACTCAATAATGTCTTCTAGGAACAGGGGATTGTTTATCCAAGATATGCAGAGCTTCATATATTTGCAAAATTTTTTGACTATGTACTTATAAAATATGAACTAGATAGAATAATAAAATGTACTCTTATTTTCATAAGTGCTATAACAAAATTGTTTTCTGTTTCAGACCCTCTTGCATGAAATGATACATGCCTATTTATTTATCACTAATAATGATAAAGACCGGGAAGGACATGGTCCAGAGTTTTGTAAACATATGCATCGCATCAACCACCTGACTGGAGCCAATATTACGGTATATAAAGTCACAGACATTTATGGTATTTACTGGTTATTTATTCAGTAACTTCTGAGATTTAATCAAAAATAGTGAACTTTCGGGCACAGTGGCTCATACTTGTAGTCCTAGCTACTTCAGAGGCTAATGCAGGAAGATTGCAAGTTTGAGGCCAGCCTGGACAATGCATGACCCAGTCTCAAAATAAACAAAGGGCTGGGCACTATGGAGATAGCTTAGCGGTCTAAGTACCTGCCTAGGCAAGCACAAGGACCCGGGTGCAATCCCCAGTACTACATGCTGTGTCAGTCCTGCCCTGGGTTTGCCGAATAGGCCACTAAGACTGGGCATGGTGGCACATGCCTGTAATCCCAGCACTGGGAAGGCTGAAATAGGAGAATCCCTACAAATCTGAGCTGTGTAGTGAGACCCTGTACCAAATACATAAAAGGAGGGGGGAGGCTGGGATTGTGGCTCAGTGCGAAGACCCTAGGTTTCATCCCCAATACAGGGTGCGGGGATGACAACACATGGTTGGGAATGTGGAGATGCCTGCAGCACTGGGCTCTCGTGACATGTCCTCCACTTGGTTTCCTTACTGTAGCCTCCTTGAATCTATCCTATATCCTAACCACCATTTCCTGTGTCATTCAGTCTATCAGAAGTCTTTGATTACTGTCTCTCCATAGACATAGGAGGTGACAAAGCCCAGGATTAAGAAAGCCATGGTGACAAGTTGCTGGGGTGCATATACTACCTTTCTCTGCTGAGGCTTATCCTGGATCTACCTGGTACATCTCCATCTTATCTTACTCACCAGCAACCGGGGATAATAACAGTACCTATCAGGAGGATCCTTATGAGGAGATGGATTAAAGGAAAACCACACAAGAATTTTATACAGTTTGAGCACTAATTAGATTTCCCAGCCCTGATATGGTACCCACAGCTTGGTTTGAAAAGAATGTAGTCATGCTTTGGCTGTCTGTGTTTTTATTTGGGGAGGGGCATTGTGGAGTGAGCAGCCCTTGTTAGTGCACTTACTTCCTGTTGTAGTGAGTTAACTAGAGTATTTCCATTGTGGTGACACATAATTAGAAGCCTTATGATCAGGTTGGGAGAGTCATAGGAGTTGGAAACAAAGCAGATTCAATTCCCTGTCCTTTTTTCCTAGTGAATTACTATGTGAAGAATTTGAATATAGTAGAGAGGGCAGCATTTATCAGCATTTGCCTCTGCCCTAAAACATAATGTCCTTCTCTTTTTTACCTCTAATATAATGTACATGATTTGCATGCTTGCCAAGTAACAGAAATTTTTGTTTATCATGGAGAGACAGCATAAAACTAGTATTACAGAAGAAAGCATTCTTTTCTTACAAGGATAATTTAGTAGGAAGTTAAAAGACTTTTTGGCAGAAAAATTATGTGTATAGGTTCTCCTTTTTTTTTAAATTTTTTTTTAATTTTTATTTTTATTTATGTGTGTGTGTGTGGCCAGCTCAGCCCAACAGGGGGCAGGGCTGGCTGGCATGTGGTGCTGGGGGATTGAACTGTGGTCCCTGTGCTTTGCTAAGCTTGTTCTAAGTAGGTGCTTTAGACCACTGAGCCATCTCACCAGCCCCGTTGCTCCTTATTTTTATACCAATAGTAACATTCCACTGAGAAAAATAAAGTGCTACATGGTCGTGTAGGAGTAGTGGTTTTGTAATTTTAGTGTTGGAGGCTGAACCTTGGCCCCTATCCATGCTGAGCAGGAGCCTTCATGGCTCAGCAGCCCAAGTATTTCTCAAGAGTCCTCTGCAGGCCTCACTGCTGAGGTGCTAGCTCTCTAGCCAGAACCTTTTCGTTATTGGTTTTTGCTCAGATTCCAAGTAAAACATCATCTAGATCTAAAAGGCAAAAGAAATCATGTCACATAAAAACTAGAAACTTATTTACAGAGAACCTGGACTCAGTGAGTAGTGTTGTTTAGTCCCTCAGTCTGCAGATGTGTTCCCCATGCCAACCTCTGGTCACTGGTGACTAAAAATGAAAACACCCAAATTCTGTTAAGAGAAACAGCCATGAACAGTACAGTATTACCGTAGCTGTTCACTGTGAAGACAGGCAGAGCTTTGAGCTTGTGGGAGAGAACACAGTAGAGGCTTCATTGGCAAAGGTGCTGTGTTAGGTCAAGCATTGACAGGAGGAGTTTGGTTCTTTGGTATTGTTCTGCTAGGGCAGTTTTCAGTTTAGCAGCAGGAATGATTTTCTGTTTTCTAAAAAATTTCCAGTGCTAGGATCAAACCTAGGGCTTCATGTATTGGAGACAACCACTCCATCACTGAACTATCTGCCCAATTAGGGAATGATTTTTTTATCATTGTAATTTATTTCTGAATCATTTAGCACTTACAGAGTTATTTTGTGGCTTTACTTTTTTTAAAGAAAATTTATCTCATTCTATCTTTACATAGTTTAGGAGGTATTAAGTTAATTACTACTGTCTTCCATTAAAATGGACTTCTGAACTTCTAATATATTACCTTTCCTCCAAATGGAGCTTTCCAGAAATTTCTGGGAAATGGAAAGTTAACAAAAAAGACTGCTTATGTGAACTATTTCTCTTGAAGTTGCTAACTTGCTTACTGAATACTGAAACCTCTCTCTACCCAGGTGTACCACACATTTCATGATGAGGTGGAGGAGTACCGCCGACACTGGTGGCGCTGCAATGGGCCATGTCAGTATAAGCAGCCATATTATGGCTATGTCAAACGTGCCACCAATAGGGCACCCTCTGTACATGACTACTGGTGGGCTGAGCACCAGAAAACCTGTGGAGGCACTTACATAAAAATCAAGGAACCAGAGAATTACTCAAAGAAAGGAAAAGGGAAGACAAAACTACAAAGGCAGCCCATATCAGCCATGAAGAATAAAGGTAACTTTTCTATCTTCTCCATGACTGTAGCCAGTGTAAACGGTATGGCCCTTTAGAGAACTAGTATCAAGGTAAGCCTTAGAGCTGTTTGTAGTGTAGAAATATTCAAATGTAGCTTTAACAGAAAATTCCATTGTCCATGAAATGATGCTAGGAAAATATACTTCGCTTTATATAGAAGTAAAAGAAAGTTTCCATCACAATATGAGGAAGCATTCCTTTCACTGTCTCAACTTCACTGAGTAGTTAGGAAACAGCGATGCGATTGTCAACCATAAATAATGCCTAGAATGTAAATTGTAACTACACCTCTTCCAGTCAGTTGGATTGTGTCCATGCTCACTGGGAGGAGAATGGGAATAGATGTGAAATACATTTGTTAGTCTTTGATCTTTAGGTTCTTTCCCTCTGATGTGGAGCTCAGAGTCACCATCTTTTGAGGAGGTAACAGGTTGATGTAGTTGATATTCCGTCCCTTAGTAGTGTCGATTGGTGTAGTAGGACCCATGAGCACAGGCTGTCTTTCCCAGATCTGAAATGTCCACTACAGTCAGCTGGAGAGACATGATAAGTTTTTTTTTTTTTTAAATCTGAATGAGAGAACTCTACTTTTATTCTTTTAACACCAGAGATCTGACTTCCCAAGATAAGCTTTCACATTGATAGGTATTTATTACATGGGTCTAAGTGAGAATGAAATAATTTCTTCATTTTGAGAGGACTGTGCATGACTTAGTGTTTGTTACTGCATTAATGTTAAGACTAGGAAAGTCTTACTTGCTTCTCTTTCAGATAACCCCAGTAGAGGTGAGGCTCAGCCACTAATCCCTTTCAGTGGAAAAGGTTATGTTCTGGGAGAGGTGAGGAATCCACCTTCATCTGGGAAATCGATTGCCTCACGTGCTATCAATGATTCTCAAGATGTTTTTAGTGAGGACCATTCAGCACATGCTGTAAGACCTGATTCTGTCGCCGAGGCAAAATTCAAACAGAATGGTTCAAGTAAATCTCATGTATTCCCTCCAGTGCAAAGTGTTCTAAGCAGCTACTTTCCCAGAGTCTCAGTTGCCAACCAAAAGGCTTTCAGAAGTGTGAGTGGATCCCTATCAAAAAATAGGACTGTTGGTGACATCACTAAACACTTAGTGTCTTCTAGTTCTCAAAGGAGGGTTCCATCTTCTAAGACACCGCTAAGAAATCCCTCCAAAGTGATGGCCTCAACATCCATAACTGCATCCCCGCATGGGAGTGGGTCCAAAGACAAGTTCCCAGGCAAGCGACCCAGGCTGGAAGACAAGACCGTTTTTGACACATTTTTTATGAAGAACAAAGTACAGAGTGATGGAAATGAGCCAGATAGTACTTCAGACTCCACAGCTACAACTCAGAGTTCCAGCAGCTTTTGCAGTCAGAACCAGCTGGTCAGCTGTCCAGTGTGTCAGAGTGAAGTTGTGGAGTCACACATCAATGAGCACCTGGATCAGTGCCTGGAAGGTGGTGCCATCAGTGTCAAAAGCTGAAATGCCTGAAAAACAATTTTCACCTGCTTCCTGCTTTTCCTCACAAGCAAATGAGATAAGTGGCCAACTACTAGAGAGGTTCTGGTTGGCACTAAGTCTGAAGGTCAGGATGTAGTTCACACAGCCAGTAAAAACATTCTATTTTATGTATACATACATGAGACTGTAGTTAATACTACTACTTTACATCCAGCTGGGAATGGTGGTACCCCTGAGGTCCCAGCTACTCAGGGAGGATTTCTTAAGCTCGTGAGTTCAAGACCAGCCTGAGCAACATAAGCACCATTTAACAGAAAGGGTTTTTACATCTCAGGCTGCTGTAGTCACTCTTGCCTTATTTGCGCCATAGGCCAGGGTTTATTCTGCATGGATAGTCTTAGATACTTTTATTCTTTCTTGATCTTGATGGTCTTTAAAATTAAATTTCTGTCTGGAATCTCGTCAAGTATTTGGTTAAGTTGAATATTTCTTTATTAAAATGCATTCCCTGAACTCATGTTCATCTTCACAGTGTGAGACTTCACATAAGCAATTTGGAGTGCAAAATGGAACAGTTCTTTCATTCAAGGTTTTTGTTCTTCCAATTTTTTTTTCCCAAAAAGCTTAGGAAATAAATTTTCTGTATCTCAAAGAATTTTCTATGTTCCACTTTTAGTAGAGGTGACAGCAAATTTTGGGCTAAAATAGATACAGAATCTAGTAAAATAGTATTATTGATGACAAGTAGCCATTGTAATTCTGTAAGCCATGTTTTGTGTTAATTTTCTACTCAGTACTGTATTTATCAAAGTGAGTGGTCAAAGCTCAGGGCTGGCAAGTAACTGGTATGTGTGACATAACAAAGTTGCCTGTTTCATGGGGTATAAAATACCTGCCAAACAGCATGTCAGACCTACAGCCAAAATTGAAACTATTATAATAAAAGGAATACCATTTGTGCACTTAAAAATTTATTCTTTTTGCAAATGCAGACACTCATTTCAGTGTTTCAGTAGAGGGACAAGGTATTTGTATCCATTTACTTCTTTTCCCACAGTTGTACTGGTCGCCACAGCCTTAGTTATTCAGTTTTTGTTGTTGTTGGAATATAACTTACACACTGCAAGGTGCACAAGACTCGAGGATAAGCCAGAGCAAACTTGCCTAGCATTTACCTGTGTAACTTAAAAATTAAAACTCTTTACTCTGGGAGACTCCTGTGATTGCCTGTTTCTGGCCTGTGCCCACCACACTCACCATCCCCAGGGGCACCACTGTTTTCATCTGTTACGAGAGGTTGGTTTTAGTCTATTTTTCGAGCTTAATAAAGTATCTTTGTTGCTGTACATAATAGTCCATTTTCATTGTTCTGTACTACTTGTGTAAATATAGAATGTTTTCATCCTTTGTAATATTAATGAATATTCTCATTGTTCTCAGTTTGAGGTTATTAGGAATAATAGGAGCAGTGCTTAGTCCTTCAATTGGGTGTATACTCAGGTGGCTTGTTGGCTTACAGGGTGCATCTGGGTAGCCTTCCGAATACTGCTAGTTTACACTCATCCTAGCAGTGGGAGCGTCTCCAGCAGTGCAGCATCCGTAACAGTTTTTAGCCTGTGTGTGTGGGTGGATGTTTTGATATTTTTTAAAACATAAAGGTAAAATTATAATATTTATAAATGGCTATTAAAATATATGTATTTTTAATATATACTCTTAATGTTCATCAGTTTAACAAATGCAATAAAGTACATTTTTAGTAAAAGCATGGTTTTGAGTCTGTGGGGAGGCAGGCTGATGTGAACCTCCAAGTGGCTTAGTGAGTGCTGTGGAAGAGACTGAAGACAGGCTATTGTGCAGGATGTCGGGACAGGACAGTCCTGGAGCGGACCTTGTACAGCACGAGTCATCAGTGAGTGGAGTTAGGTTGGCAAAGGGCCTAGCAGAGCACACTCGGAAGGGATGAGATGCTGTTACAGGAAGCGTGGATAGAATGCAAGGGGTGACAGGACAGAAGGACAAAGACTGCAGGCAGGATCTAGCCAAGAAGAGTTGGGGGCGGGAACCATGTGTGGTAAATACTATGTATAGCGAGCACCTGTGACACGGAACCCCCTTCACAAGGCTCACAGGGCAGCCAGCCACACTTGCAGAGCTCAGGGTGGGCAGGGTGGGGAAGAGCAGGGCAGGACACAGGAGGTATGGGCAGCATGGCACAGGACGAGTGGGATCCCTTCCAGCTGGCAAGAAAAATGGTCTGCGTTGAAAACTTACACCCCAAGAATGGCCACTCCCCCCAAATCTGAGTCATACTATCAATTTTATTTTACTTTTGCTTACATTTTTTTTTTCCTTTAGAGCAAACTTTCAACCTTACTAGCAGAGTTTGTAATTTGGGCCCCTCCTTTTGAGTTGATAAGCCAGACCTTCTGCAGAAACCTGGTGTTTTTAAGTCAGCATTACACACTAGCAAAACAAGCTTGAGAAAACTATTTTGCTTTTATAGCCTGGAAGTGCATATCCTAAATAGAAATTCTGAGTTGGATGGGAAAGTACTTCAACAAAAACCTCATAGTGTCCCATTGTCCCAAAGCATAAAGATTGTATTTCTTCCAAACTATGGGATTTTTAAATCAGGATGTTTCACTGTGAAACAGTTGGTGGGAGACGGATGCCCAGGCAGCACTGCAATGTGGCGTCTGTTATTGTGGCCTCTGTGGTGTATGGATCCTGGTGCTAAAAGTTAACTTGAGAGCTAAAATTAACAGGGAAGGATGCAATGTGAACATTACTCTGGCTTCATTTTTTCTAATTTAGCGTTAGGAGTTACACAGTCACACTTCATCATCACATGAGAACACAAAATAGAGGAGGGCCTTGCTCAGTGGCGATAACACAGTTAACACAGCGCTGCTATGCCTGCCCTGACTTGCCTCTCCTTTACTGGACACCAGGTGGCGTTTCTGGTGGGTGAAACCTGAAAAGCTAAAGGTGAAGCAAGCTTCAGGGAGGAGAAACCTGCCCCTGCACAGCGGCACCAAGTCTAGGAGGGAGAGTGGGCCAGCACCTTAGCCTTGTGAGAGGACACAGAAGTCAAGAAGGTCTTGGCCCCGTCCCCACACTGGCTTTCACATGCCACCCTTGCACTCCACGTACCAGCCTCAGTCTAAAGCAAGGGAAATTGACTGCACAATCTTGCAAAACAAGTGTACTCAACTCACATGTGCTCACCAAGGCAGGGCTGCACTTGGCTGTTCCTTACATCACACTGCTCATCTGCCCAGCTGAACCACTCTCCTTGCTCTGGTCTGGTGGCTCCAGGTAATCTGAAGGATGTAAGAGTGTCCTTTGCCCTTCCTTAGATACCTGGGATTGCAACAGGGGCCTTCTAGATTCCTGGCAAGAGTGAATGAGAGGCAAGGTGTTTCAGTTCCACAGTTATCCACCTGCAGAAACAAAAACACCCTTCTGTGTATATCTTGGAAGAGTGGAGGTGTATTACAAGTGAGGAAATCCTGAGAACCAAGCTATTTTCAAGTATTTCTTGCAAACTATGAAAATCTGGATTTACACACACAAAAACAATTTTTTCAAATGAGATTCCAATTTTTTTAATGTATAAAATAGCTCCATAAATTCCCATGCATGCATACAAGCATATCTAAATGGCTTCATTTATAAAGATGAACTAGGATTGACTGTACAGTCTTAGCACCAAACACATACATGGTCCCCATGGTGGGATCTGCAGCTAAGAATCCACCCATCCTGTTGACCTGACAGGAAGCATCCACTTCTGAGTGTACATTGCTGTGGAAGCGTGTCACAGTGCACACGAGTGTCTGTTTTGCATCCTGAGCGTGCTCAACTACTTCATTCTCTTTATCACTTCTTTTCCTTGCCATTCATTATATTAAAAATTGAACATTTAGCCAGGTCTGATGGCACACACCTGTAGTCCTAGCATTCAGGAGGCTGCCAGCCTGGGCTACATAGTGAGCTCAAGGCCAGTCTGCATTGAGACCCTGTCTCAAAAAAAAAAAAAAAAAAAAAAAAAAAAATTCTTTCTTGGATATCTTTCAGTTTACTCTCAGACTGAAATAATTTTGCCTTTTTTAATTTCTTTGCTGACAATGTTGGTAGTGTTCTGCTTTGTGGTTCAGAATTTTCATCAGCTACAATTAATGCTCATTTTGTATTCACAAATGTTGTCTTCCCCTTTTGCTCATTTTGGAAAGGTGTTTTCCTTGTCTTGTGCAAGCAGCTAGGTCTCTGCAGGCAAGATGGCTTTGTGACTCACTGGGCCCAAGTCAGTGTATTCTGTTGGTGGACACAAGGAGTCATTTCCAGAGATGGCACTGTTGTAAATGAGGAGGTTTGATAAATGAGCTTGGAGTCTCCTCTAATTATGTACTTCTTTCTCTGTAGAACTCGTTTTTGTTTTTCTTTTTCACTTTGCCATCAAAAAGAGCTACCATGACCCCTTCAAGAACAGCACCTTCTCCAGACAGCCATTTCCAACTCTGGACTTCGAAGCTCCTGCCCCTGGGTGCCCTCGTGACCAGCACTCTACATACCTGCATGAGGCGCATCAAGACTTCCATCATACACAATGGGGTGCCTTTCTCCCCTGTGTGTTGCCACTGCTAAGTAGCTCTTGCCCTCATCTCCTTGCCATGTGCTTTCCACCATGCTCATATTTTTTTCTTGCTGTTGAGTATGAAACCTGCTGTGAGCTGGGCACACACTTAATGCTGAGCCATCACCCAGCCTGGTGTCATGACCCTTAGGCCTTGACTGGCTCCAGTGACATTGCCACTCTCCTGCTGGCTTCTCTGTGGCTCACCATAGGCATGGGCCATTGGTGACCTTTCTCTCAGTAAGGTTTTGGAAGATCAGAACAGAGATTTAAATTGAAGGAGCCGCTTAAAAATAATAGACCCAGGAGTCCAGAACCTTCTCTCCTACATAAGAATACATGGAAAGGGCCACTGGGCACTTAGGGAAACTCACATGAAAAAGTTAAGATTGCTAGGGTAACCCATTCAGGACCCCCTCTTACCTCTTTGGAGCTATTCGTATTTCCTAATAAATTTTTCTACTCTTAAATGGTTAAATACTGTACCCACAAGAAAGAATAGTTTACTCTTTTAAAAAAGTAGAAAACACGAGCTCTTGGGAATTAAAAACAATTTAGCAGATATGAAGCTCTTACTGGCATGGGAAAAGAGATGTCCCCACAGCAAAGACCAGGATCCACAGTACCTAGGAAAGGTCAGATGGGCTTTAAACTAGTAGACAGGCTGTCCACATAACTAGATAGCAGGAGCACCAGAAAGAGCAGAGAATGGAGGGGAGAGGTTCTAAATGAAGAAAATCAAGAGACTCCCAAACAGTCAGGCATGGCCTTGCTGCAGCTCAAACTATGTGCACGTTACAGCCCACTGGAAAACCAGAGCCCTGGGGATGAGGACATTCTGGAATCTTCCTGAGGGGGGAAAAAAAAAGCAGGTAACAGGTAAAGAATTGAGGATTTCTTGGCATCCACACAGAGGAACAATTAGTGAGGCAATGCCTTCAAAATCTGAGGATAGTGAGGTCTAAACTCAAGCTATATTCAGCCAAGTCACCAACTAAGCATGATGGTAAAGATACCAGTGTGAGGACATTTCCTAGCCCCTCACTGTGGCAGGAAGTATTGGAGATGTGTATCACCACAATGAGGAAGGACACCAAGAGAGGACACATGGTCAAGAAAACTGGAGACCCAGCCGGGGTGAAAGCAGCCCTCGGTGTTCCTGGTTTGGGGGATGAGTGAGCAGACAAGGCTTGGGCCGGGAAAGCTGGGACCCAAAGAACTGGCGAAGAGCTCAAATTTGTTTTCAGAAGAATGTGAGATTACTGGTCTTTTGGGATTTTTTTTTTTTAAGCCTTTATAAAGTTGCTTTAGTTATTTAAAATAAGCTTCAGGCTCCCATTCTGTTACCTCCCACCACCAAGCTGTGACAGTTACTTTCTGACCCTAATTGTGGATGGAGATGAAATCCTCTCTGCCTGTACTGTACATATGGAGAAAAGATGTATGGGTTTTTTGTACAATACAGGAATATAGCAATTTTGCCAAAGTACCAGTCTCTGCAGAGTGAGGCCTCCTCACAGTCTCCCTGACCCTGTGATATCTTGTCCAAGCAGACAGCCCCAGGGGATGCACTGCCTACAGCTGGCATGGCTGTCCCTGATGCAGAGGCTTCATATCCCTATAGGCTCTGCATAGAATGCCATCTCCAGTTCCTGCACGCACCCTCTGATACCTCGGGGCTATTACTGTATTTATTTCAGGTGAAAGCCTGCTCCTGAAATAAATGGTGATCACTAACCACATGTGCATCAGGCCATGCAGAAGCCAGGGGGGCTGCATCCATAATCTCAGAGGTACAAAACACATGCTTGAAGCAACTGAGATTGGATAAGTACTTCTAAATGTTTATAATTAAGTATGCAATTAGCTATTAGGTATAAATACAGATCAGTGCAGTCTAACCCCAAATATGGCTCTTGTTTTAGATCACATGTACTTCGGGAAGAGTACCTTGTTACCATGATTAATTTAAATCCAAGATATAAAGACCTACCCCTGGTAGCCAACCCTTGATCAAACCATCAGCTTTGCAGAGCCAGTGGTGCAGCTTCTCCTTTGCAGTCATGCTCCCTGAGGACGGGGAGGTCTGCCTGTTCAAGGCCTGCTGTGCTCCATGCACTATCAGGGACTCCACGTTTGGGTCTCACAGGTATTTTTTAAGATGGCTTATTTTCAGATTAGAAAAGGCTCAGAAGGTCACACAACTGAGGGGCTGAGCCACAACTGAACAGAAATTTGTCAATTCTGTGCTTTTTATTACATCACCTAGTTTAGTCTCCATCTCTAGCATATTTGTCTTCCTTCAACCCCTAACAATGTTATTTCAGTACATTCTCCAAATGTCTTAAAATAAGCCAAAACATCAAAACATTTAAACACTACATTAAAAATATTTTAAAGACATACAGAAATGTGCATATTGATCTCCTACGACAGAAACATTCACAAACTTTCCTGCACATGGCTGTGACCCCAGAAACAAGTACTGTGCCCCTTCTGCAGCATGGGTGGCAGACACAGTAGCTCTGAGCACTAACTTTACTACCAGGACAAGATGCCAAACGCTGAGCATTCCCACAGGGGCTGCCCACAGGGGTATCTCAAGTTGCTGGACTCCAGTGTTTAGCTCTCCCACCTTTTGTCATTTACAAAAAGTAATACCACCTGTTCAATACCACCTGGAGCAAGCCAGAGTTGTGCGACAGAAGCACAGTGACTGATCAGAGGGCCAAGATGAAAGCCAAAGCATAATAATGGGTTGAAAGACCTAAAAAAACCCCAAAAAACAAAAAAAACCCCAAAACCAACAACAACAAAAAAAACCAAAACAAAACAAACAAACCACCACCACCAACAAAATGACAGCTGGAAATAACCATAATTTTTCAAGAACATTTATACATCTTTTTAATTAGATTAGCTTTACAAGCAACTTGAGCTCTTTCATAAGAAAACACTGCTTTTCAAATTACATGACTTTATAGTCTGTCTTGAAATTTTTTGCCTGCTACTGATAAAGGTCTGTGTTTTACAGCTGGTTAATGTGTTGAATAAAAACAGTATTATGAAGCTTCATCTTTAACCAGGATTAACACATACAGGCCACAAATTTTTTAATTTTGTTTTATATAGTCTTGCTTGGTGACAAGTTAACGGTCCCACTATGATGAAATGAATAGATTTTAAATGAATATTAAAGAGATGGCTGTCCTGATTTCTGGATCTTTTCACAATCACTTCTAAGAAGGTATATAAACTTCAAAAAATATGCAGTGTAAGACCTGTCAGCAAGCACAACCAGGGATGGCACAGAGTGATACTCTGTGCACCTGCAGAGGTAAACATCTGGGTGACACGGGCTCCCCAAGGAAAAAGCTGTTGCTGTACATACTGGCGACCAAACAAACCTCCCACCAACATAAACGATTCCTACAAACCCTAAAAATGGTAGTGCTTTTGAGCTGTGGCCTGACGTAGCACACCGCGCTGCAGACCAGGTGGCAAAGGCTTGCACTCCCAGGCCGGGCAGCAGAGGCACTTACTGGCGAGGTGTCACTGAGCATCTGGAGAGAGAGGACTGGAGCAGACCTGAACACAGGCAAGGAAGACAACTGAGCTCTCTCCTGCAAGTCCCCCAAGTGAGATCCCAGTACTGAATATCCACCCCTAAGTCCACTTATCAGGCTCATTTTTTTTTCATGTTTTACATGAACAATAGTAATCTTAATAAAAATTACTGAGCTTTCCATAGAAAAGGTCTCTAACTGAATACAAACTATACAGATGCTGAAACTGTCCTAAGCTGAAGTATGCAGAAGTACTCTGTACACTCATATTTTGGCAAAGAAGCTCAGGACAGAGACAAAACCCAAGGGGGCAGATCTCACATCCATAATTCATATGAAATATGGATAACACCCTCAGGGCTTGCTGAAGAGCTATGAAGTAAAGCCTATGCTGTCCATCCCAATTCAGTTTTGTTTTTGTGTTGTGCAGTGCTGGGGACAGAGCCCAGGGCCTTCACACTGAGTTACCTCCCAGCCCTTCATTTTTTGAGACATGGTCTTTCTGAATCGCCTTCAACTTGCAATCCTCCCACAATGCTGAGATTACAGGTGTGTACCACCATGCCCAGCTCCAATTTGCTTTTTAAATATCAGAAGTCTGGGAGGCCCATGTGATTATGTAATATTCCCTCTTTTCCTAAAAAGTAAAAAAGAAGATCCATAAAACATAAAAATAAAATATCTGGTTTTACGCGTTGTTTCTCTAAGCTAAACATTTCAGCACTGGTCAGAAGGCCGCGTCACATGAGGGGACTGTGCAGCTGTCTGAGGAGCCAGGGACAGGAGTGCACAGCTCCGTATCTTCTTTGCTGACTACCATCTCTCCTAGACACGCTACAGCAGAAACGAAGTTCTGATCTGCAGAGCAGATGGGAGTCCAGGACGAAGGAAAAACTGCAGCAGTAATTTGGGAGTACAGTTAATTGAGGAGAAGCAAAAAGAAACGTCTTTACTCAGGACATTATGTCTACAACTACAGGAGACATCTGAAAACAGAAGAAAGCCCTTTATTTTAGGAACTTGATGCTGAAGGCAACCTCAAGTTTGTTTACTGCCAGTAATTTTAGTTTTTTTTTTTTTTTTTTTTT